TTTTTATTTTACTTTCGAGTTTTTTCAATTTGTTTTATTAATGTTCTATAAATTATTTTTATTTTTGGTATCGCCTTTTTAAAAACGCAGAAACATAATATATTAAATTTTCCAATCATTTGTGTATCAATCTGCATGTCACTCCCTTACAAACTGTCGAAAAATAAGTCACATATACTTTACACAGTCTAATGAAGAGTTGAAAAATAAAAAATTCAGTTTTTCTTATAGTAAAAGGATTAAGTATATAATAAAAGTATATAACAAAAGTAATAAATTATTTTCCCGACCTTCACACTTCTCAATAGGCAATGCTGTTATTAACTACTATCTTAACCTTATCGTACAGCTACACACATTACGCTTTCACACATTCTTACATGTAAAGTACCTTATCCCCATGGCGCGTTTTTAACAATACGCCTAAATAATAACAACCAATCGAGAATTAACCTAGTATTTCTGTTGTACTGTACAATAGAAAGCCTGATCTTTTATTGGTTAACTTCAGGAAGTTATTGGTTACGCTTTACGCGAATTTAACGAAATACGCGCCATGGGGATTAGGTATTGAATATCGACTTGCAAAATGGCGTAACTTCTAGTAAATTACTATATTACGCAGGTTATGCATATATAAGTTACGCCGCATGGGGAGGCACCCTAATGGTGGAGCCCCATGGCACGTATTTTCGCGTAACGCGTAACCGCGTAACCAATCACATGTTTCTATTCTTTTAGAAGTTCCAACAGAAATACTAAACGTCGCAATTTATTGGTTACGCGTTTACGCGGTACGCGGAAAATACATGCCATGGGACTTCAGCCTAACTCTAATTGTCGTAAACACTCATTGTAGTTAATTCTTCAAGAATTCTTCGGGTATTCATTTTTCTAGGTTGCGTTCTAAAACGCCCTTTTTGAGGAAATTTTACTCTATACTCTATAGTATATGTAACGTGAACTATAGTTATTGAATAAAATTTTCCTTAAAAAGAACGTTTGGAATGCAACTCTAGTTCTATATATATTTTTTTAAATTCTCTAGGAACTTCTGTTCATCTCTGTGCTATCTGGGATAATATTAGTTTTATTTTTTATGTTTATTACAATAATAAAATGAAATATCAATACAAAATATCAATACAAAATATCTTACTCTTTTTATATCTTTATTAGCCAAAACATTACGAAACGACGAGGAAACATATTTTTGTTGCTCACTTTCCCTCATGACATACACACGCCATTTTGAGGGAATCCGGCCCGAATGGTCAGACTCTATATTCTAGGGACTCTAGTAGCACGTTGGGACATACGACACGAGCAAACCTCAAACGGAAGTCTTCATGTAAACGCAAGTTAGGAATAATACCTATATATGAGACTTGTTCTTTGTAGCTGTACTGCTGAACTGGTGTAATATGTTGAAGTGAGACATATATACATTTTCTCACTCTAACTTATTGCACTAGTTCAGCAGTGCAGCTACAAAGAACAGGCCTTTGATAAGTTAAGTGCTATACTTTTATTTCGTATATAATCAACACATTGTGCATCGTTTTGGAAACAGGTACATATTCTTCTTGAGTATATAATTTCAAGATAGTAATAGTTAAAATCAACAGCGTATCGTTAAATAAACCAACGACGCGGCATAAGGACGTTTTTGCAAAGTCGAGTTTCGAATGTGATTCTTCTGCCAGGAGAACTTCTTATGATACATGTTTACGCACAACCTCGTGTATCAGCGGCAACTATGTAATAATAATGCATGTAATATGTATAATGTAGTCTTGTATTAAACAATCTGAAAAACTCGTAGGTTATGTTTATGTTATAAAAGTTTCGTAGAATTACTAATTCATACAACTAAAAATTAATTAATGTAAATTTAATTTTATTACAACTGATACAGAAATATAACAAAAAGTAATTATAAATGTGGTTAAATATATAGTCTATAACAGTATATGCAAATATTTCATGCTAGAAATATTTTTTTATCTTTAAATATATATAAATATACAGTGTGTATAATACGATTGAAGAATATAGTGGTATATGTTAATACATATGCACACACACATATATGTTTATGTAATTATATATTCTATATAGGAACTTATAAGACAATAAAGAAAAAAATATATTAATAATAATCTACATGCTGTTCAACTTGTATCAATTTTGAACATGGTTCTGTCATTTGATTCACCTCATAAAATAATATGCAATATTGTATTGCGTCTTATACTAAAATTTGTAATTATGTACTAAGTTTTTGTACTAATTTCTTATAGTTCAATAAGTAGTATCAAAATTATAATCACAATATATGATTATTTTATCTTAAGTCAAGAAACAATAGTTACAGTGAGCATATAACTTTTCAAAAATGAATGGGATTATCCCTGAAATGGAACAAATTATCAGTCAGCTTGAAAGAGGTACTGTAGTAACTAAGTTTTTTCCAAGAAAACGAGCAGAAAAGAAAACTCTTATGATACGAAGAGAAACTAGACAGATTGTGTGGTCAAGAAGTACAACATTCAGACCGTTTGATGGTTCAGGTAAATTCCTATTGCTTGATTATTTTAATAAGATTATTTTAATCTTCTTTATATATTGTATATTATAATTTTATATATTGTAATATATATATTGTAATATTTATCAAATATTATAACTGTTGTATATATGAAGCATATATATTGATTTTAAACACTTATTTACAGTGGAAATAAGAGAAGTTAAGGAAATTAGGATAGGAAAACAATCTAAAGATTTTGAAAAATGGCCAGAAGATGCTAAAAAGATTGAGAATTTAAGGTGCTTTGTTGTATATTATGGATCAGAATTTAGATTGAAAACTCTTTCTATATCTGGTGAGTAATATATAAAACTAAAGTGTTGCATTTTTTTTATACGTTTCTAATATACACAAATATTATTAATAATTAACTATTTAATTATCATAATCTTATTTATAACCTAAAATAATGTTGATTTATATCTATTTCAGCTCTTAGTGAAAAAGAATGTGAATTATGGGTTAAAGGATTACGTCATTTAGTACAAGACACTATAAATGCGCCATATCCTTTACAAGTTGAGAGATGGCTTAGAAAAGAGTTTTATGCTATGGAAAGTTCCCGTGAAACGTAAATATTCTTAATAAAATTTGTTTTGTATTTTTATTTGTTTTGTAATTTATATTATATATGTTATTCTAATAATTTTAACTATGTCATATATTGTGATTAACAGAATTACCATGAAGGATATAAAAGCATTTTTACCTAGAGTTAATTGTAAAATTGCTACAAATAGACTTAGGGAATTGTTTCAAGAAGTAGACACAAGAAACCGGAATGAACTTGGATTTGATGACTTTGTTATCCTATATCACAAACTAATGTTTGATCAGAATGTATGTTATTTTCACATATTAATGTTTTGAATATCATTTATATAATAACCTATATATATTGAAGTCCACAAATGTTTTTGCAGAATTTTGCAGATTGGAATAAATTATCGAATTACTCCCTAACTGGACAAACTGTCACGCTTCAAGAATTCCAGAACTTTTTAATAACTGAACAACAAGATAATTTAGGCAACAATGATTTAGAAATATCGCGTTTTATTAGGGAATATTTACAAGATCCTCAAAGAGATATACAAGAACCATACTTTACTTTCTCAGAATTTATTGATTTTTTATTCTCTAAGCAAAATGATATCTGGAATCAAAAATTTAATCAAGTTTCTCAAGACATGACTCGGCCTCTTGCACATTATTGGATAGCGTCATCACATAATACGTAAGTAATCTTTAAAGAAACATGAGTGAAAAAAATATTTTAAGTAATTATAATTTTGTGTTCATTTATAGATATTTAATGGGAGATCAGATCAGCAGTGAGAGTAGCTGTCAGGCCTATGTACGTGCGCTAAGAGCTGGATGTAGATGTATAGAGCTTGATTGTTGGGATGGTCCAGATGGAATGCCATTTATATTCCATGGACACACTCTCACCACTAAAATTAAATTCTTGGATGTTATTAAAACTATTAAGGAACATGCTTTTGCTACATCTGAGTAAGTTAAATAAATAGAAAGTGAACACATTATTTTCATATCATTACTATTTTTTTCTTATATATATATATTATTTATAGATATCCTGTAATTTTGTCTATCGAGGATAACTGTACTTTACCTCAACAACGTAAAATGGCAACATCTATGCAAGAGGTATTTGGAGATATGTTGTTAGTCCAACCTGTCGACAAAAATGAAACTTTTCTACCTTCTCCATACGTCTTACGTAGAAAAATTTTATTAAAACACAAGAAACTTCCCGATGGTGTAGATGAATCTTCGTTTCTTGTTCGAAATGATGAAAGTAGACAAGAGATGGATCTCAGAAATACTGTAAAAAATGGGATTCTTTATTTGGAGGATCCTATTGACAGAGAGTGGAATCAGCATTTTTTTGTACTAACACAGCAGAAGCTATTTTACACAGACACGTTTTCGAGAACACAAGAAACTGAACATGATGATGACGACGAAAGCAACATTCGAAGATCGTCAGACGTACGTATACATATATATACATGTGAGATATATAAGATTACTCCTTTTTTTGACAAATAAGGATTTTTTAATTCGATTTAAATTTTTCATGACTAATTGCAAATTCAGTTGGAAGCACTATGCGCATCTGTGCACAATAAGGACGATTCATAGTCCGTTCTTATATTTCAGCTGTATTTATAAATTTTTATTTTATATTTAAAGTCGTCTTATATTTATCTTCAGATGTTATATAAATTATTGCACTGATTATATAAATATAAATATTGCTATATAAATATATAAATATTGCACAGAGCATTTGGAGGTGAATTTAAGACGATGTTCTTAAATATAAGAACAGACTATGAAGAGACTTTACTACACGTTAATGCGCACTAATGCTATTTCTAATTGGATTTACTATAAGTTGCGCCTTATTAGATGATACTATTTTTAATTTCTAGTTTAAACCCAAAATACCTTCATCAAACTGCAAGTTGAGTTTTCTTAAGTGGAATGTTATTTTTATTTTAGATAATAATTCTATATAAAAAGTTAAAAAAATTGATAATTTTTACAAATTTTTACTTATACAGGATGTCCCGAAACTACCGCATGTTATTTTAATGGCAGATTCTTTAGAATATTTCAAAACGAAAACTCATACAGAAATGTCGAGGCTATAATAGTTTTCAAACGGGAAGCGATTATATTTCACCAATAACAGGGCTGAGATTTCGCACGCTCAGGCACGTTGAAATGACAAGTGATAAAGTTTTCCTATGAATATCACTTTTTTTACGATATTATGATCATTGTATAAATTTACAATAACATTGTCATAATATGTTTTGCCGCTTCTCTATGCTTTACATTAGTGTATTTTTTATACGAATAATAGTTGTAAGACATCTTAAATATGATTCAAGTAAAAATAACATATTTCAGCTTAATCTGTCAAAGCATCGATCAATTATTATCATGAAGGTGTTCACTATTCTATATAGCATCTTTATCACTTGTCATTTCGGCGTGCCTGAGCGTGCGAAATCTAAGTCCTGTTAATGGTGAAATATAATCGCTTCCCATTTGAAAACTATTATAGCCTCGACATTTTTGTATAAAAGTTGCCGTTTTAAAATGTTCTAAAGAATCTGCTATTAAAATAACATTCGGTAATTTCGGGGCACGCTG